TAATACACAAGCCTATCAAAGCTTCCAAGATAAATTTGATTTATTCACACTAACCTTTCACTTCCTTAAACCGCAGGAACGAGATCTGCGCTGCTCCCACGATATTATGTTACGCACTAAACAAACACATACTTATACATATTATCGTTTTATTCAAATACAATTCCATCTACACACACCTTCACGACAACCCCACCATCGTTTTCAATTCATTAACTCAAAATACACATCACCGTTTTTCCTTAATTTCACTAATTGTATCAAAAATACTAACCTTCACGGCATCCTCCGTAACTACGACCCCGTCCACCAAATGTATATATTTTGCCCCATCATCAATGCTTTCCAGGACAAAGAATCCCGACCCTTCCTCATCCCGCACGAATTCCTACAACCCATCGAAATCCCAATCCTTGAATTTATACATAACACTAAATATAACCACAAACTTTATAACTTAATTCAAAACACACCTCATGAATTTGCAGTCGGCACCGAAGAACTAAATATCATCAAAGCACTTCAATTGCTTTGGCCACTGCTTGAAACTAAAAATATCATTCGTATATTAGCTAAATTACTTACATCATCAGAACTAATTCAAGACCTCTTTCCCCACGGCTTTTTCCCTGAAGATTAAGATAAGTATATTTAAATTATATTCGCTAATAAATATAAAGTTACCATTCTTGATAATGTTTAATTTCATTTTTCTAGCCCTCTCACCACCATCACCTAAAAAATGAAAAAAGACAAAAAATAGAAAACTTTTAGAAACTAGAATTCATCAAACTTATTTGCTAAAACATTTTTGATAAAATAATTTCCATAATCTAAACTCTTCGCACTATATAATGTCTTAAAATTCATAAAAATGTAATAAATTAATCTATAAATTTTTCCCCACCAAGCAGTAAACTTACATACGATGAAAATTTATAACTTCAAATTCCCCCAAATGTAGTAAAATTCAAAATTCAAGCAGGAAATTTATTAATTGTTAAAGCAGTACTAACCTTTTCTATCATTCGCACAAGAATTCTATCCAAACTCGCACAGCTCGCCCACAAAGAATTGTTTAAAATAATGATTTTATGTTCCAAGCTTTCAATAACAACAACTCTCACTAATGATAACAAGTTTCCAACTTTCCTTTAACCCGGTTGGAATGGAATTATACACTATACTAAACTAACCAACGCAAATGACTAAACACCACAAATCATAAAATAACAGCATGAATAAGAAAAGAACACCAACGGTACCCAAACCGGATTAACCCAGCTTAAAACTGGATAATTTATTCTTTTGAAGACTATTACAAAGTCAACGAAAGAAATAATAAAACACAAAAAAGTCGAAAGACAAACCCATACCAAAAACAATTTGCTTTTTGAAAAAAAGGACACAACCATAAACAACATAAGAAAGCCCAGAAAAACCTCCATATAATGTTAACACAAAACAGAACCCCTCAAAGAAACAGCACGAAATCATACTCCCACTCTTGGCCTAACCCTAACCCTAACCTCATACACCAGAAAGGACGTCCTGAGCATGCTCTATAGCCGGCCTAACCCACCGCGCTACACCACGCTTTGTGACCACACTTTTATTTTTAATAAGAGATACTCAAGGGTGAGTAACTCTTCAAAATAACTGAACTAAAATAAAAAGCTTTTGTGAAAACACTTAACCAAGATCATAACTAAAAAACGATTAACAAAAATTATAAAATGTAAATCATAGTATGCAGTATATAGATCATACACAACAACAAAGACGAACATCCAAAGACTAGACGACCCTATCACAACCTGAATAAGAATGGCTACCAACCACAACCGACATGCCGCACACAATCACAACTCAAAGGATTTAGAGTACGACTTGACTTCGCAGCAAAGGACTTCATTGAATCAGACCAATGACCACCTCGATGTTCAAGTATACGTACAGATCCGAGTAACAAGGCATCCCTTCCAAACACGAACTTCACGCCATTCCCAGACGAGGTTGATCACAAACAACCCCCCCACAAATGCAAGCAGAAATGACATAGCAAAGCATTTTGGATTCTGGAATCTAAAACGATTTCATTCATTGGGGATCAGAGAGATTTGAATTTAACTTAGAAAATAGTTGACTCTCCCGAGTACTGCAGCAGCCGCAACAATACCAGTATACTCTAGATCTATTGAGCCTAGCAGAGACTAGTTAAACACTCTGAGACTAGTAGTAATAAGAGTAAGATTAGGATCGGTATTAGACTAAAAAGTTGCACGAATCTATCCGGCCGAAAATATGATAGCGTGACGAGCAGACGGTGTACCCTATCCGAAATTACTCTATGAGCTAGACATCCATACCTAACTCAAGATGGCAGCCAGAAACAACGGTCCATAATGGGACAAGCCGGGTTCGCTCGTCGGCTAAAGAATACTGAGAAAGTTGCCACAATACAATGGCAATCAAAAACCAAAGTACGGTCACCGGTAGCATAACAACTTTAATTTTTTGCTGGCCGAATCTTATTCTGCAAGAGTCAAAAAACAAAAAAAAACGTTGTATTGGAAAATGATAAAAGTGGATATCGGATGAGACACAAATTCGAAAATTAGCGGTGGTGATGATGCTTTTGGACCAATTTGAAGAAAAAAGAATTTATTTGTGCCGACCGACACAAATGATGCTTGAGTATTGCCTGACAAAAGCTATGAGTTGAACGATCGATTGCAAGTATATTGGAAAATGTCATGCTCAGGGAATTCCCTTATTTAGGGAAAAGACTCGACAAAAAATACGGCTAAAGCGAATTATCGCCCAGCCGACAGGAACTGTGGTAATCTGATCAGTCCGAGTCAGATGAGGCGTAAAAGTAGTTGGGAAAAAGGTACGTTAGAAGGAATAAGGAAAGTCGGAACTTGAAACAAACTTAAATCAATCTAACTTGAACAATCTGATAATTTTAAACGCATAAGGATCTGAAAATAACGCGGAAAATTAGTTGTATACAGAGTTTTCAGTTATATTCAAGCCCTTAATTATTAGCAAAATTTCGAGTAATTTCCAATCATTTTTGAAGCTACAGAAAACTCAAGATAATGTGATAGATGTCTGCATTCAAGTGGTGACCTTAAATATGACGTCATGAGAGTCTAATTTTTATAAGTAGAATAATTAGGACCGTTTTTGAAAAATAGAAAACAGGTACCATAAACCGTGGAAATCATTTCAAACAGCAAAAAGTTATGAAGCGGTTTTTAAAAGCAATTTATATCTAAAATTTTGTCAGCACTAACGGCAAGATTTGAAAAAAAATGCCAAGTGGCATAATTAATCTCGAAGATATTTAAGATAAGAATTGGAAAGTCACAAAAAGTCCTTTTTTCAGTTTTTTTTCTCATAGGTGCTGTAAATGGCAGTATAATATTCAAGTAAAAAGGAAATGATTTACTTTCGTTCAATTTAGCTCTGTCTTTTTGGAGTCTTCAAATTTCATTCTAATTTTAGAGACACAGCCAATAAATAGTTGGAAGTTGGGCATTGAAACAAGAAAAACTGAGTTAATTACTGATTTGTGTTTAGTAAAATTCTGTGAAGATTGAAAATCAATCAATACATTTTCAGAACTATTTTTTGAAGATCAAGTTGGTCAATACTTTGTTGAACTTGAAGAAAATCCTAAAAGTAAGCCGCCTAAGTTAAAGCAAAAGAATGGCTGAAAAAAAGGGAAAAATGCGGTTTAATTATGTGAAAGTTAACCCATTGAAATCTAAAAAAGGTTGCAAGGTTATTAAGATGAAGTACAGAAAAAAAAATTGAATTTTGGAAAACTTTTTGTTGGGTTGTAAATTTTTCCATCTGTTTAACGTTTGAACAAAAAATATTGTTTAAAGTATCGTTTTCTGGATAAAGTAATGATTCTTCGTTCAGCTTATTCGAGTTTGCACTCTGTCAGTCTGGGAAGAAAACATAGCTAACTGACAGTTGGAAAAGAGTAACTAACGCAAGGAAACTGAAAAATACACCGACGCGGCTTTTCAAAATTCTTCAATTTTTCAATTTCGAAGAAAAAATAGATGGCTTTGAAGCTCTTTGAATTTGTACAATAAAGTATATTGGACGCTTTTTTGTTAAAAAACTCGATTTGCGAAGTTTGGATCATTAGGTAAAACTCCTATTTTGCTGGAAAATCTGACAATTAACTTGCATTTTCGAACTTAGAACTCAGCCACGTTTTATGAGACCTTTACAATTATGCTGTTCGATAGTGGATTTTCCTCTTTTTTAAAATAGAAAAGCACTGAATTTAAAAAGAAACCACCAGTCAAATTATTTATTTTGATCATTTTAATTGGTTTTTCAGGCACTTTTTTGAAATTTTTGACCAAACCATACCGTTTTTTTGGCCAGCGCTCACCCCTCAAAATTAGTACATGTTGGCGCCGAAGGCGCCTAAAAAATTGCTAGGGTCCATCAGCCGAAAATGGATATCACAAAGTAGTACAAAGACATCCTTTGCATCGGCAGGGGGTCGAATCCCTGAAAGGGGGAAGAAGCCTACTCCCCCCCCCCCCTAAATCCGCTACTGATTTGAAATTTTTATTAAAATTTCAAACAACTGTGAGCTGAGCAAGAGCAACGTGATTACAGTATTATCAGTTTTTGAATGTTTTTGATTGCTGTTAGAGCATTTTTTGTCGAGAGTTGTTCCTTCTAAGAATCTTATTTTTTGCAATGAAATTTTAGTTGGACTGATTTCCGTCAAGATCTGAGAAAAAATCTTTGGCAACCCAAATACAAAAACATCAATTTATTACAACAAACTTTCAATTATTAAATTAAAAATTTTAAACTTTCGCTATTTCATTGCTGTAAATGATTATTTATCTAAGACAGTTTGTGGTAGGTATTCGTATTATCGAAAAGTTATAGCAGCTCACGCAATTAATCTGATTCAACTGGTTAATTCCTAAATTCTGTTAATTTGGCCTAATTTTTCAAAAATCTGAACTACTACCACATTTCAAGAAAGAAAAATCCCCACTTTCGTTCTATTTTAGTTTTTATTTCAATTCAGAGTTTTTTAAATCATAATTTTTTGTCAGAGTTCAATGAGAAATCACGGCGAGATTTGTTTGCTGATGTGTGGACTCGTTAAACTGCTCGGAGGTTGAGAAATCTTTTTGACCGACAACTTCTTCACTGAAACAGAAACGAGATTTATAGACAGAGGAAATGAAACTGGACCTGATGACACCTGGATGTATTAAAGTGTCCAAAAAAGTGAAATTGTGCAAGTTACAAGAATTTTTTAAGTTTTGTGCTGTCTACGCCTTTAATTACCTCGAACCATCAATTGACTGATTAATTTTTTTTGTCCCTATTTTGCTCAATACTTCTGTCAAAAATCTTTTCTTCTGAACATTATCCCCTCTGCCGCATTATTGCAAAATTGGAGGCCAAGAAGTCTTAAAATATGGAAAATGCATGTAGCTTAACTTCTAATTGATTGTTTTTGTCTCAAAATTTTTAGTATTACGAAGACTACTAAGTAAAATATCCTCGAAGATATTCAAAACAGTACGAGGCCAAATTTTGTACTTTTTGAAATGTAAGCTGATTCCGCAACAAGGACGTTCCCTTTGTTCTTCTTTTTTTCTTTCATTTTCTTTGATCGTTTCGACAAAATTTAAACATTTTAAAAGATTTGTCTCTGAATCCAGGAACACCCAGACACAAAATTGTGCGCCTATCCAGTGCACAGGTTGGCCTCGTAACGAAATCACTGGTATATGTTGTTTTGATTTTTCGCAAAAATGGTTGGCCAATTTTAAGAAGCTTATACGTTTTTGGGCTTCTTCCTAAAGAGAAGTTTGTTAAAGCTTAGAAATTAGGTTTTTGGGAAAGAATTTGTTCTACTTTTAAGAGTTGTTCTAGGAACCATTTGCACGATTTCTCGATCAAACTGGAAGAAGAAGCTTATACGAAATGATGTGACAATAATACTCTGGTTGACCTCCATATACCGAAAATACTTGTCTTACAACTCCATATATCTAAAATGCGTATCATATAATTCCATACATCAAATGTTTGAAAACAGGCTAATCATACAATTGCTAATCCTGGATACACAAAAATTGGAATTTTTGCCGGTTCTCTGGACAACTTTTTTCAAAGAGGCTAAAAACTCCTATTTTTTTGTGTGGCGTGTTTATCTATGCCTTGATCAAAATCTGATCTTTTGAAAATTTCTATTTTTTTTAAAAATAATCATCTTTGAAAGTTTTTGTTAAAATTTAAAAATTTGATGCTTTCAGTATATGATTTGTGAAAAGAGCTCTTATATATTTCAGTTCGTTTTATTGTTATTGTTATGTAAGTGTAAAAAGATCAACCCATTGCTGACACTAGTCTTTTATGTTCGGTTACGAACACATCCCAAAATGTTGAGAAAATTAACAATAAATCACTTTTTGTTTTATGAAAAAAGCTTATAATACAATTTTCCATATATGCAAACATGCTTATCCTAGAGCTTTCTAAACAATTTCTGTATCTATAGAAATGTACGAATTTGTATGACAAGCATTTTTTCATATATGAAATTTGTAGGACAAGCATTTTTGGTCAACTCGGGTAGTTGAAAGGAAGGATAACTTAGTTAATTATTAAATAATTGTTAATTGAATGCAAACTGACTCCTTTAACCTGCCATTGGTTTCGAGTAAAAGTTTTTTGTCAGACTGTTCGATTGCTACTCAAAATGATATTTAGACTGAATAGACTAGGAAAACTTATTTCAACTTCAATTTAAGCATTGTAAAACCCCTTGTTACATCATAAGTCCGAGAAAGATAACAAAGCGGAATAGTCAACTAGTACAGAAAAATTCTTAAACTTTGCATACTGAAAAAAACCAACGCTAAAAACAAATATCTTGAGTTTACTATGATCGCCAGAAAACAGTTGTTTGTGACTGCATAAGAAAAAAAACTTTTTACGTTGAAATTAAATACCAAAGAACTTTTGTATTGTGAACTTCTTGCAAAATTTGCCGGGTCGTCCCCATTTAAGCATCCCACAACTGCCCCCCCCCCCCACACACATTCCAACAGTATTCTCAATACACCGCTCAGTCCAATACGATCAAAATAAAAAAGCACTTTTTTGAATGCACATAAATGAAAAAGAGCATATTTTTAAAATCGATTGAAAGTTAACGAGCAGGGTTGAGGAGTTTCTTTTTAGCTAAATATTAGCTTTCCCAATAAAAATTAGAAGTTTTGCAAGATTTTCATTCCCGTACAAGAGTCTCGAAAAATTTGCATTGCACAAATAATTGTTTACCTGTTTTCACGACAGTCTTTCCTTCGGACCTTTCGTAACCTTGAACATTGTTTCGCACATCATCTGCTGAAAACAAAACATCAACACTTAACTAGTTTTTCCCAAAATGAGGTTTTGTGACAGAATGCGTATGAAATCAGACTTTTTTCAAAAAGAAGTTCATTGAAAGGAATTAGTAGCAATTATAAGAAATTTCTGGCAACAAAAGCGTAACTATAGCAAGACTGACAACATTGAATTTTTCATTTCGGCTAAAAGACTTCTTCGAAAAATGTTGTTGTCTGACCACCAACTTTGAGACAATAGATTGGATATGGCATGTCACTCAATCTCATCTATAATTATAGAGAGTTGCAAAAAGTTCGGACAGACAGTCTTAATTAAAAAGAGCAACTGTCTAGACATCAGCGGAAATAAAAACTGAAATAAACATAAAGTCGAAAGTTCATAAAGCAAAATTTTCGCTCAAAAACTATAACCACGGCGGGCAGTTGCATTCCGAAGCCGAGAAGGCACACTAAGGGCAAGATTTTGCGCATAATCTTCTGGTAAAGTAAACCAAATATCGCGAATTTTTTGGGCAGCATCTTCAGGAGTTGTTGGTGGATCTAAAGCCATTTTTTTCTTTATTCTTTCCCACACATTTTCAATTGGGTTAAGATCAGGGCTATATGGGGGCCATTCGAGCAGGGGAATATTTTTTTCTCGTAAATAGTCTTTCGTCATATTTGCAGTATCTGGTGTGGCATTGTCTCGTGAAAAACAAACGTTCTTCTTGGGGGGTTCAGCATGTCCACACTAGGTAGCAAAAAATTTGGTAAATTTTCTTCTATATAATGCTGGGCGTTCATTGTGGAATAGAAAGTTTCAATAAAGCCGAAACCCAAAAAATGAAAACCAACCCCAGACTGTCACATTTCCACCCCTCTGAATTTGGGTATCGGTTGAATTTCGTGTTTCAAATCGCTCGCTTGACCGTCTTCAAAAATATATCTCCGAGTTTTTTCCTAAGTTTTACAACCATTTCGTCGGAAAACATAACCCGACTCCAATCGAAATTCAAATAACGATTTGCATAAAGTCTTCGTTTTTCTCTTTGTTGTGACGTCAAAAAATTTTGCGATGCTTTTCGGTAACGAAATCCTGCTTTTTGAATACGTCGTCGACTAGTGAACCTTGAGACGGAAAAATTATTGCTCAGGGTGGCTAAATTTTTTCTGCGATCAGTTTCCAAATTTTGAATAATTTCATCATCTTCACCTGCATTTGTTTTATTGGGGCGGCCTAATCTCTTTTTTTGTTGAATAAAACTCCTTGATATTCGACTTTTTAACCAATTTTGCTAACTGTTTTATTGTAAAATCTGGATTTTCATCGCAATATTTAAAAATTAGGCTTGCATAATCATCGGATAATCGCTGACCTCGCATTTTGAATTTGGTCTGACAAAAAGTTCAATGTTGTCCGGCTTCAGATTTTGCATGCAAAAAAGCGTCGAATAGCTTTGATTGCTCATTTTAATTAATTCTGTCTGTCCGAACTTTTTGCTACTAATTATATAATTAGTAGCAAAAAGTTCGGACAGACAGAATTAATTAAAAAGAGCAAATGATCTTTTTCAGACAATTTTTGCATGCAAAAGCTAATTTTTCAGACTGAAAGTTTGTCTCAATGTCACTTAAAAATTCAAATTTGCATGCAAAAATTGCTGCAAATCGGCAGATTGCTCTTTTTAATTATTTCTGTCTGTCCGAACTTTTTGCAACTCTCTATAGTAGCAAAAAGTTCGGACAGACAAAATTAATTAAAAAGAGCAATTTACCTATTTTGGAAAAACGTTGCATGCAAGATCTAATTTTTCAGTCCGATTTTGTGTCTCAAGGTTGTATGAAAAAAACTGCATGCAAAATCTGTCAAAATGGTGACGATTGCTCTTTTTAATTAATTCTGTCGGTCCGAACTTTTTGCAACTCTCTATAACGTTTCTAATTATTGCGAAAAATTCGCTTTAAGCCAAAGATTCTTCCCTTTATTTTCGAGGTGACCAGAACAAAACTTGCATTAATTTCATCAAGGAAAACCACTAAACTTTTTGTCGATTAAGAAACTGCAAACTTTCGAAGAAGTCTTGAAGCGTATGTTAAAAGAACAAAGTTATGTGAATTAAAATAAGACACAATGAAGCAATTCATACCCATTTCCAGAGCTGAAATAATCAAAATAATCTCACAATTTACAACTGCATGCAAGACCCAATTACAAACAATGATGAAATTGAAAATTAATTGTAACTCAATTACAAGAAACTTTCTTCGATGTTCAAAACCGAAACTAAGTTTGACTTCTGGACAAACTTTTGCCACCATCACATCAAATTTTCCCAAAAGTTTACATTGGTCATCATGAAGGCAGCGTTTTAGCTTTTACACGATGATATTCATTTTAGCGACAAGAAGTTAACTTGGTAGGGTGAGCCAGAAAGGGAATCTTTTTCCCCGAGTCCGTTGAGATTGGAAAAAAAAAACAGTTTCTTTGTGAAAAATGAGAACGGTCTAAATTGAAAATGTAAACAGAGGCAAGCAACTCAGCGCGGATAAAAAACTGACAGAAAAAAATTACATACTGGAAAAAATCTATTTATTTCATTCAGTAGCAAATGAACACATATTAGGAGACCATTTTTGGTTCATCATGCAAGGAATCGTCTTAAGTCTTTTTTTTTGTGATAGCTCAGCTATAAAGAAGTAACAAGAAATTCAAATACCACACTTACTAATTTTATTTTTCTATTGATTTGTTGTTCTGGCTTTCGAAGAAATTGACGAATATTTGTGCTCGTGGTGGTTTGCTTGGCTAAGTTTTGACAATTAACTAACGCGTAAGCGGCTATTTAACCAGCTCAAAATTTGTTCCAATTTACATTCAGGCATTATTATGGAGGGGGAGGGGGCATAGGCCCGGAGGTAGTTTAGCTCAGGTTGAACTAGAGCTCACTTAATCATGATGAACCCAATAAGCTATGGATATCTTGTGAGCTCTCACTTCGAAAATTGCAGCGCTTTTCCTAAATTTGTTTTTTTTAGCATTGTGACTTTGACTTACGAGGGGTGAGTGATCTTGATGTTGTTGCCAGTACTACAGTCCTGCTCTCCTTCTCGACAACAAACTCGTCTTTGCCACCCAAGAAAGAATAATCTAAAAACACAAGGAAGTTAAAACTTGCGAGATAACCTAAATTGTGATATAATAACTGGTGATATCTCGAATTGTCACTGTTAGTTTAATATTTAACCCGTTTTTACTAAATATTTCGTTTCAGAACAAACGGTAAGAAATGAATTCAACAGTAACAGTTTAAATTACCGGAATCAAAAACAAACCAGTTAACATACAGATATTAGAACAGTTGTATTATTTTTTAGATAGGCTTAAGGCGTGGAGATGCATAGCTAGCGTTTTCCGTTCAAGCAGGACAACCCGGTTACCTATTTGAATAGCCACTTAGACGTAGCTACAATTTCTACCTACAAAACGATTTAAAAAATTGGCAATTTTTTTAAAACCAGAAATTTATTCAGAACTAAACTGCCAGTCTTGGTATTTTTTCTCTAACTTTTTCATTAACGAATCATGAGATTGAAACAAATAAGCAGTAGAGCTATCATAATTTTGGAATATTGTTTAATATACACAAGTTTGGCTGTTATTTTCTCGTAGAGACGCTTTGTCTGGAAACTAACGAAACATCTGCTATTTAATTTAAATTTAAATTGTAATTTTCAATGGTTGTGATTTGTTTTTAGCTGTTTTAAATGACCTTCGGTATTTAATTAAATACCTTGTTAATTTATTTCAATACGACCACCGGTCGATCGTAGAGTGTTCGTTCAGTTGTTTTCTTAGAACGGTTTAAATTAACACTCTATTTGATTCGTTTTACCTTTTTGAGTAATTGTACAATAGTTGTACATAGCTCGTAGTATTAGAATACTTTATTATGGCGCAGTCTAAGGCTTCGATTGTGCGTGGAATCCCCCCTTATGGCCTAACCACACCTTAGAACCACCGCATGCCTGGACTCAATGGAGCGGCTAACTTCAATTGGCGATTAATGCAAAGAAAAATCTGGACAATGAATGAGAGTCTACATAGACCAGACGCTCCAGAAACGCAAATCTCCAACCTCGAACAAGTCACAGGAAGCGAGTCGGACACGGACAGAGCCATCAGAGAGACGAGGAATAGAAACGCTATGAAACGGTGCGAAGCCGCCGAAGAAAAGCGGATCAACGAGGAGAAAAGGAAGTTTAACGGAATGAGACGGACGGAGGCGGATAAGAAACGGCGCTCAGTTTTGTTCCTACCCCTAGGGAGCGAAGGAAAAAGAGTCTTTACGCAAAAGAACCCGAGGGTCAAGATTTTAGCAATCTCTTTCACAGAGTTCTGGACCCTACTTGATGCAGCATTCAACAAGCCGCCTAACACAACGTTCGAGAGGTATAAATAACTCAACCGCAAACAGAAAGACCGGGAATCATATGAAGAATTCTGGGGAGCGCTAACGGACTTGGCGAGTACGTGTACTATAAAGGAAAACAACGAAGCGTAATGGATAAGGGATGTTTTCATTTGTAACATTAGAAACACAGACACCCAAAGGAAACTGATTTCAGCCACGATAAGTACGACAGAAGCCCTCAACCAAGCCTTGATTGATGAGAAGGCATTTTTTAATCACCGACAATTGACAAATATGGCACCATCATTGACCAATGGGACAATTTTCCCGTTCTAAATCGTTCTAAATCTTTTAAGAATCATAATCAGATTAAGAAGGAACCAAGCCTCAATATAGAAAGTTGCATGAAATTTGGGAATCCTTTTATGAAAGGGCACCTAAACGTATGCTCAGCGAAGGACATAACTTTAAAAAATTGTATTAAAAAAAGGACACTTCGCCAAATTATATAAATCCCGTAACAAACGACCCACTGTAAAAACTGTAAACGATAATTATGTAAATACTGAGAGTTATACATACGTCTCTCCGGAAAGCTCGTGGGGCGAAAACCAAGAACCGTGTGACGTGATAAGCGCCTGGAACGAATACGGGCAGAGCGACTATGACGACTTCTCAGTACTGAGCGTGAGAACAATTTACGATAAAAACAGACTTGAAACTAAGAAACTGCTGAACATAGAAATGGGTTGGGAGATGATTGTAAATATGAACATACCAGTTGACTCAGCAAGCCCTGTAAGTTTTTCAAAACAAAACGTGTTGCTCGAGATCAAACTAATATACCCGAACCTAAAAATTTACCCGGTGGACAAACGAATTAAAGATTTGTATTGTGGCTTTACTGACGATACGATCAGCATAATAGGAAAGATAATCGTGAGGACACAATCTAATGGGTGGATCAGCGAAGAAACACCGTTCTTCATAACAGGTGCTTATGAACGAAACATACTGGGGATTGACATTCCACCCAAGTTAGGCATAGAAGTGACACAGAAGAAAAGCCCCAATCAAACTGCATGGTCAACCAACCACCATTCGAGAGTAAGTGTATAAATCCAATTCTTTTAATGACAAAATCTTTAGCGAGTTCGAAGAATTATTCACCAGAGTGGGGAAAATACCCAATGACCACGAAGTAACCTACTTTCACACACCGCTTAAACTAGTACAAGCAAAAGGGAGAAGAGTTCCCTTCACTTACTCGCTGGGGTAACTGAAGAACTGAAAAGAATGGAGACCGAAGGTCACATAATAAAACAAGAAAAATGCGACGAAGATGTTTATTCAGCCCGATTTGGATTACACGGAAGAGAGACGGTTCAATTAAATTGGCATTAGGTTCTAAATTATTAAATGATCAGATGTTTAAAAATAAGTACCAAATGCCAAATATTCACGAGCTTATAGACAACGTGGCCCTACAAATTTCAGAGAAATCCAATGAAAAAGGTTGGTTCAGCAACTTAGATCTGAAAAACGCTTACAGTCAACTCAAATTGTGCGATCAAACGAGCAAACAGTGTAATTTTAGTATAGTAGTTGGTGAAACAACTGGAACCTATCAATTTTCAACTAGATTTTATGGATTGGGAGACATGCCCAACGAAATCCAACGGGCCATGGAATCACTTTTAAAGAACATACAGTTCACAAACTGTTATATAGACGACTTTCTGGTAGCTTCGAGAGGATCATTGGAAGAACATAAAGCAATAGTCTAAAAAATTTCAGCAATCCTAGTTAAGAACAATATGGCGGTGAAATGGGAAAAGTGTGCGTTTTTGAAATCAAAGAACAATATGGCGGTGAAATGGGGGAAGTGTCCGTTTTCCAAATCAGAAATAGAATGGCTAGGCTTCAAAATCTCCGGCGAGGGAGTACGACCGTTTGTCGGTAAGGCAGACGCCATCAAGAACTTACCAATCCCTAAGAACATTTCGGAACTGCGATCGTTCTTCGGCTCGATAAATCAGTATGTGAAATTCGTCCCGAATTTATTTACCCTAAGCTCTCTATTAAGTCCACTACTGAATAAAAAATCTGTATAAAAATGGGATAATATTCATTCTTCGCCCTTCGAAAAACTGAAATCCGAAACTGTAAATATCACAGAGAACAGCCGCTTCGACATAAAAGATAACGGTAGGTTTAAAATGGACGCTTCGCACAGTGGACGCTTCGCACAGTCAATAGAAATCTGGGATTATTCATACACTCGAACGGAAAATTGTAACTCAAAATGTCTACCTATCGATAATTCGAAATTCAATTTTAAGAGCATCACTTTTCGGACAAGGTCCATTTTACATTTCATTTTTAAAAACAAACAATTTTTAACACTATTTAAAAAGAATTTCGTCTTTAGGAAAACGGAGGAAATTACCGGCCGTTTATTAATAATTCCGGAAGAACATAATTTTGCCCTTAAATTTAAAGACGACCATCCTCCGGACGACCACGCAAATCTACTCAAGGGGTACAAATCAGATTCAAAATTACTAACGTCTCCCATACTTCCCGAAAACCACTGTTCAAAAAAACTTCAACTAATTACTACGGAAGACAAAGTGATATGGGACCTGATCGAGACAATGAAGACGAATCGACCAATGGTCATCCACGGAAGTTACATGAAAAACTTTGCTAAAGATCTCCACGTGAAAGATGACCTACTATTTCTTGACAGCAAACTAGTCGTACCAGCTACCATCAGGGGAATTTCAATACTATGCTACACGAGACCCAGCCAGGCCAGTTAGAGATGAAGTCTCTCTCAGAATATATGTGGTGGCTGCACATCTATCAAGAGATCTACCACCACAGGAACTCCTGTAGCCAATGCTTGAAAGCTGATAAGAGCCTCAAAGTTTTGCTAGGTACCGACAATATTACAAAATTGCCGAGATTGTTCTTTGCTAATGAAGAAATAAATCTGGATTTCGCAGGACCAATGGACGCGTTCTGGGGAAAACAAAAATACATTCTTCTATGCATCGATCGATTCACTAAATTCCCATCGGCCAAGATCGTAAATAACACACCCGCGAACAGTGTGGTTTCTTTCTTAAATGACTACTGCCACCCTCACAGTTTTCCAAGAAAGATTAGAGTCGACCATGCTCTTTATCTCACAATTTTATAAATGTCTGCGAAAAATTCCACATCTAGATCATTAATTGTTTAATCGGCGACCATAGATCCAATGGGCTGGTTGAAAGATAAGTTCATACGATGAAGCCCAAGTTACTGGCAATGTCATTCGAGTTACCGAAGCCCGCTCTAAATTCTTTGATAAAAAAAGTTATCTGGAACTTGAGAATTTCAAAGCAAGCTAAAATTAACAATTTAATAAAACGGCTAACACTGGATGGAAAAACCTGATTTCCTTTGATAACCATTTAGATAAAGGGAAATCAATCCTTTCCAGCAGACGGCCAGCAACTGGGAACTGCACGACGGGACGGAAGACGGGTACCTCTATGAAGAGAAACACAGCCCATCGGACCCGAAAGACAACGTACCGCTAGCGCAACCATTCCGAGCACAACTATACCACCAGAGAGCCACAAACAGTCTAGAGGGTCTGACACAATGAAGAAACTAGTTGCTGGAGGTAAATTATATAGAAGGGCTACCAACAGGAAAAAAGGGGAACTTTATTTTAATTTAGTAAAGAAGGATATCCTTGACTCCCCAGACCATACAATAAGCATCGATAACGGTCATCTTTTACGAAAATCAGATTTGTAAAAAAAATGAAAACTACTACCCGGTCCCTAAATATGGTGAACCAACCAGCCATCGGGGTCAAGTCACACTCACATTTAAGTTTAGCCGGGAAGAGGAATCTTTCTCCCCAATAAAGACTTTAGTGACGGTCACACCTCAGCCAAGGCAGGGCACCTCAGGAGCGGGCGGATCAACGCAGGTGTCGGATTCACCAACAGACGTAGAGACAACCCAAGACCTCATCCAGATCTCTTCAGGTTCTTCGTCATCCTTGAGTTAAACTCTGTGGACGGGATTATAGACGGTTATTTTGACGACGTGACTAATAATCACTTACCCTCGAGCCACCAATACGAGTCTATTCAAGGGTTAAGTGTTACAGGTGATGCCCACTCCCCTCAATTGAGACCAAATCTATTAGTTAATACGGACCAACGGGAGATTATAGAAATACACGACTCTGCCTAGATAGAAGGTACGGAGGGTAACCCAATCATGCTAGATAGTGCCCCAGAAGCTGTGGTCCCATCAAACCCACAATCAAGACACGAAAGACCGCGCAGGAACGTCGGACACCTAAATTTTTAGGAGAACGCCGTTTTTTTGGCGTAGTGCTCGAAAAAGATGACCAGCCGACATTTCCATCACAAATTCACATTAACAACCAACCCAGAGCAACATTCGTGATTACCTCACCGTTGGAATTGTTGACATCGTTAGCGGAGGCTTCACCATTAGGAACCCTGGTCTCAGCAACCACACTTACTTGGTCATCAAAGAAATCGTGCGCATAGGACAGACCAAATTATACGCCAATTGTGTCATTTTTTTAGAAGCACCTCTTCAGGGTCCCACTCTTTATTCCAACCGAACACCAACGACACACTCGACGATGTAGAGAAATCGCGCGATACATCCTCGACCATCGACTCAGAAGTAAAAGCTAAATTAGATGAATTCGACAAACAATTTAACTGATTTTCACTTAACTAAAAAAACAGAACCTTTCTTTAGTTCATCTGATAGTACTCTTAATTGATCATTTTACTGTAGACAACGTTGTACATGTTAAACGTACATCTTGCACACTAGTGTTTTATTTTATTCTTAGAATAGTTAATTTATTTTTATCCCAATTTCTGTATAACTGTAAATTCTGTATGATCACCCTGTACATTTGTACCTTCTTACTTTTTTTGTAGACAAGGTTTTGCTTGCCGTACTGCTTTTTTGGTGGCGCAGTTTGTAAAATTTTGTTCCTAGTTTGAAGGGAAGAAAATGGGTGTATATAGTATAAGTTGGTGAATTTGTTGTTTTTTTTCCGGTGGGAAATGTTGTGATTTGTTTTTAGCTGTTTTGAAATACCTTCGGTTTTTAATTTAAAAACAGTTAACTTAGTTCGATACGACCACCGGTTGATCGTAGAGTGTTCGCTCAGTTGTCCTTTTAGAACGCTTTGAATTAACACACTATTTTATTCGTTTTACCCTTTTAGGTAATTATACACTAGTTGTACATAGCTCGTAGTACTAGAATAGTTTATTACCAATATAAAAGTAGTCAAAAAGTTTTAGTAAAGTTCGAAAAGTGAAGTTAAAATCAATTGGACTAATTTAATTTCAATTTTTTCTAGTTACCCGGGTTGACCTTCATAGAAAAAAGTTGCTTATCATATAATTCCATAAAAAATTGATTATAATACAATTCCATGCGTGGGTTCTAAAAAAAACTTTTATCATAGAATGTTTATCATAGAATTTCGATTTATGAAAAGTGTATGAACAGCATTTTTTTTCATTGAATTTTTTTTTCAGGAAAACCTTTAAAAAGAATTTTTTGTAAGTTCAAGTGATCTTGATTCTTTTTCTGATTAAGTTAGATCAAGTTGGCCCATTTTATTTTTTTACCAAAACTGTTTGTCATACGATTTCCATTCTATGAAAATGGTATGATAAATATTTTTTCGTTAAACAAAATTTTAGCCGTGACAAAAAAATTTTCCAAATAATTTTGAAATTTTGTCTCAATTTTTTCGTTTTTTTGAAAATTCCTATTTCATTTGAATGGCGTGTTTATGTATGCCCTGATCAATGATTGATAAACTGAAAACTCAAAAATTCAAAATAATCATCATTGAAAAATTTTGCCGAAAATTAAAAGTTTGTTACATTTGTTATATCATTTGTGAAACACAACTCGAAGACAAATTAGGTCGTTTTTTTATGCATTGTGAAAGCAAGATTGTTCAACTTTTGGTGCTTTGAGTAACCAAGGTCTTGGTCACTTGGGTTCGGCTGCAAACAGAAGCCAAATTGTTTCAGAAAATGAAAATAGAAACAAAACACAACTTTTAAGGCAAAAACACCTATCATACAGCTCCTTCTAATGATAAATGGCTATCATACTATTCCATTGTATGGAAAAAATGGTTATCATGTGAGTTTCATACCATTTTTTTTTTCTATGGAATTGAATGGAATCGTTTGAGAAGCATTTTTTCCAGTATGGAACTGTGTGATAAGCATTTATGTCAACCCGGGTACCTTGTTTAAGGATTACTTGGTTTTTAAGTAAATTGTATTTGGGTGTAAAAAATTTTTGGCGCAAAAATTTGAATCGGTCAAATAAGCACTAGGTACGATTGGTTGTTTTTTTTTCTACTACACACTTGCAATCCTGATTTCTTTGTTATTCATTGTTAACTAAGGTAAATTTTTCCGGTTTCGGAAAAATTTTTTTTAAAGTTTTCTCTCGGTATACAAATTTTGTGGATAAAAAATACAATTTTTTTTCTGTGATTCCAAAATAGCCAAAATCACCTGCAGATTTAGGTGGGGGTGGGGGGGGGGTGGTGGGTGTGGCGCACGCTTTTTTCAGGGATTTGACGGCCTGTCGACCCACAGGGTCTCCCTTGTACTTGTTTAAGGGTCTTCTTTTGTCTCCATTTTTGGTTGCCGAAATTTTTCCTAAAGGCTCCTTGTTAGGCGCCAATATATACTCAATTTCAGGAGGAAGCGCGCGCCAAAAACGCAAAATTTTAGTCAAAATTTTGCTAAAGGTGCCCAAAACGCCTTTTTTGGCGTTTTTTCAATATTTAGCCTGCGGCGCAGAAAATTTGGTCAAAATATGGTCTTAATATTGATTTTTGAGAGCTCGAAAAATCAAATTAGTTGACATAAAAAAAGTCGAAAATTTTTTAATGAAATTAATTTGAAATTTTTTTTGAAATATATTGTTTGGATTATCAAATGGGTACATGCCTCTCAACTCTTTGAAATTTGATTTTGGAATCGATACCTGAGTTTCGACTTTGATTGCTTCCACAACTAGACAGAGATGAAGTGTCGTATGCATTCCCACTTTCAAAAGTACAGTAGCTAGCTCTTTTCTTATGTCCTCCATTCGAGTTACTCTTGGAGCCTGGAGAAAAATATTAGGTTAACATTTAGATTGCTTGAAAAAAATTTATAATTATGATTTTTATTTGGCCCAAACTTCAAGAAGTTTTTTCTTAACTAATATTGAGTTGAGATTAATACTTTTTAAATCACAATTTTGTCAGCTCTTAACCACTATAATTAGTTTGAAGCAAATTGAAAGAATAACTTTCAGGAATTCAATAGGTCAAAAACGATGCTTCGAGGCTTCTAGTGTTTTGGCATGATATTTTTTTTGAGAAACGTGAAAACGTTTTGGCTAATGGTGTTCTTCGATACGATTCAGATTTGGTTTTGTATCTTTAAATAACTATTCAACTAGATATCATTTGAAAACAATTTGTTATCTATTACTATTATAATTTCAGCCTTAAAAATGAGCAGGTTTAGACTGAAAAAAGTCGTTCAGAATCGTTAACTGAAAAAAAAATTGTTAAAAAGTGGCGTTAACTATATAAAAAGTAGCAAAAAGTTCGCAAACACGAAATTAAATAAAAAATAGCATATGATTTCATTGGGGAAGTTTTTGCATGCAACTCTGACTTTTGAATTGACATTTTTTATCTGAAAAAAACTGTTGTTGCATTTTTTTTCTAAAGCTGATCTTTTGCTTTTTTCAAGTAATTCTGCAACTTTTTGTACCTAATGAAGTTCCAGTGTTGGATCTCGGTCTCCGCATTGTCGGAGGATTCGATGCTGACTTAGGCTGCTCGGCCTGTGAGTTTTCATTGGAGTTCGCAGACTCGGATGTTTTGACGGGACTCCCATGGAATGTCGAGGACCTTCCGGATCTCGTATCGTCGGCAAAATTAAACTCCTCGTCATCATTGAATTCTGGACTTTTGTGGGAGTAAATTTGGGAATTTTGTGTATTTTGAGAGTTGGGAGAGTTGTCATTTGGATGTGAATTGGATTTGTAATCTTGATTTGGGAAATAATCATTGTGATAAATTCCAGTTGATGTTGAAGGTCTTTGGGACGAATCGTAAGAAGTTTTTTCGAGCAGCACGGACGTCATTTTTGCGATTGTTAACTTCTAGAATAGGTCAGTTTTGTTTTGGGAGCTCAAATTGAGAACATCGCAGGATTTCGAGGTTTTTTACTTCAGATTTTGCTAAAATATTGAAATTTGAGAATAAATTTGATCATAAAAACAACCATTCGAACAATATAATTAAATAAATCGGATAAAATTGTACAATTCAAATTTTTTGTAACTCTAATCAAGTGGAAACCTATAAGCCCCGGTTCATTTTTTTTTTCAAAAAAGAACAAGTTTGGTTCACTGCGAAATACCCAAATTCCACCCGAATTGAAACTGATTTAACCAATTAACCCTTAGGCTCTCTTAGATTCACATACAGCCCAAACAATCTAAATAAACCAAGCCAGTTATCTTGTTTAGAGAAACGCCATTCACGCCTTTAAATCTAAACAAACTCGGCGGTAGCCTTTACAATAACTGGAACTATCTGGAATTAAGTCGGAAACAGACGATTTTGAAACTGTTTCTAGCCTGTTTAATTTGGCACATTTGCTGATAGGTTTATGAGAAGAAATCAAAATGGTGAATTTAGGTTGTGATCTTTGGTACTAAATAAAAAGGGCAGTGTTGTGTAGTCTACACCTAAATGGTACTTTTTGCCAATACAAAGCGAACAAAACTTATCAAGTAAAGAACACTCGGTTACTGAGCAAGTATCGCCGAACTTTCCGACCAAATCGGGCAACACTGATCAACAAAATATTAAGGAATCACTCTTTGTCGCTCTGAGATGCAAATGTTTTAAGCTTTTTTCTCGACGCCAAGATAACTTTTTTGATATTTGTTTTTGGATTCCGCATCACGGCGAAATGAAATTCTTGAAAAAGTTGGGTACGCAAAAATGGTAAAGGATAAATAGGACAATGGAACTTGAGATTTTTCTGTTCTGTTATCAAATGGCAGTTAACGACTGAAATCGAAAAAAGTCTTAAACGACTGAAATCGAATCAAAAAATTCTTTTCAGCGACTTAGCTGTCAAAAAAAACGTTGACTCTTGGATGCAAAAAAAACACTTACTCGAATTCGTAACTTGAATTTTCAAAAAAAGCGCTATATGTAAATTGCATAAATAAATAACTGTTTCTGCATTTGCAAAATAATTGAGATAAATTTGAAATATTGTTTGTCAAGTTTAGACTTATTGAGGTTGCTTTTAGAGGAAATTTGGGTGTAATAAGCTATTAAGGAGGATATTTTTGTGAATTTGGGCGGTAATAAAACGGCTTTATTTAGTCTGTGAGCAGCATTTTCTTAAGTAATTTGGTATCATTGCACGTTTTTTTGACAGTTGAGGAGACTGTCTAGACAATGTAATCTCATTTTTTAAGAGCGGGACTTTGACCTTAACCTTCAACTTTGTCTTTTCTAAATCTCAACTTTAAAAGATCTATTTGGTGCATCAAAATACAATTCGAAAATCACTATAATTAGTAGCAAAAAGTTCGGACAGACAAAATTAATTAAAAAGAGCAATTGACCTATTTTGGAAAAACTCTGCATGCAAAATCTAATTTTTCAGTCCGATTTTGTGTCTCAAGGTTGTATGAAAAAAGAAATTGCATGCAAAAATCTGTCAAAATGGTACGATTGCTCTTTTTAATTAATTCTGTCTGTCCTAACTTTTTGCAACTCTCTATAAAATTAGATATTATTAAATTGAAGCGAAAAATGTCATGCTAAAGATTTTAAGTCTGTTTAACAATTTCATTTATGGAAAACAATCAATTTTTAAAGCATAACTTCCTTTATAAAAACTCAGTTTAAGAAATCATCAGCGGAAAAATTTACACAATAACTTAAACCCTACATTTGACAAGAATCGAGGGTCAAAGTTGACGTTTTTCTATCACCAAAACAATTTCAAAACACTATAACTATGAAATTTTTAACAAAAAAAATTAATATCAGTTTCGAGCAGGGGCGGATCTAGGATTTTCTCGAGGGGGGGGGGGGGGGCGGATTTTCAAAAAAGTTTCGAAAATTTTGACGACTTTTATTTTTTTTAGGTCGAGCAAATTGATTTTTCAAGCTCTCTGAAAGCACTGTTTTGCCCTTATTTTGTCAAAATTTTGTGCGCCGCAGGCAAATTGTTGAAAAACAGTCAAAAAAAACCGTTTTTGGGCACTTTTTGAAAAATTTTGACAAAAAAAAATCGCGTTTTTTTTAGCGCGCGCTCCCCCTCAAAGGTAGTATATATTGGAGCCAAAGGCGCCTTTTGAAAAATTTTAGGGTCGGTCGGCCAAAAATGGATTTCTGAAAAAGTATCAAAGGGGGACCCTTTGGGTCGGCAGGGTGTCGAATCCCTGAGGGGGGAAGGGCGTCCGCCCCCCGCCCCCCACCCCTAAATCCGCCCCTGGTTTCAAGTTTTCTTAGCTCAAAATGCTTAGATTAAGTCCAGTATATATAAAATGTTCATTCATATTGTTTGAAAAACGAAAAAAAAAATTAAAATTTTTTTTTTTTGGTAATTAGGGCATAGAAACACCTTTCATTTTTTAAAATATGTTGTTGTTTTTTTTTGAAAAACAATAGCTATTTTCAAATTTTCCTTACGAAAAAGTTATAGAATGACGGAAATTGCCTGTACATCTTTTAGGAAAACATTAGATGGCAAAAGTTTTTTCCTAGGATTATCAATCCGGGTAGTATTCACAAATTAGGTTTCCTTCATGTCAAAAATTGTCATTTAAACGTTTGCCGAACTACAGAACCGAGCGAAACGTACGGGATCAGAATTGGAGCCCATTTTTTTGTCTTTATTTTATTGTGGGCACTAGATGAAAACAATTTTCTAGCCCTGTTTTAAACAAAAGGAGCTGATTGAGCCTAAATTTTAGCAAAAGAAACTGAATCAACCCATTTAAAAAAAAATCAAACTAGGTTCATTGAGCATTTTAATTATTTTTCATTTAGACCCAATTAAACAGTAGTTCTAGGCACTGGTGGAACAGAGACAGCACCGAGGCCTAGAGGAGGTCACAGGTTGCTCTAGGAATCGTTGCGATTCCCTGTAAGAAATTATTTTTAGCCAAAAGGAAATGAATGAGCCCAATTTTCAACCCCTGATTTGCCATGGAAGTATGCGAGGGATCAGAAGTTTGGGATGGTATATATTGGGATCTTGATTGGGCGCCGTAGGGTTAATTTTTTCTGTGATAACCAGGCAATCAATCGAACTAAAATTGGGCTCATTCAGCCTCTTTGTTATGGAAATTTTATGCAAAAGTTTTGACCCGGGTTGCTAGAAAATCGAGTTTTGTGCATTAGTATTGCTCAAGCAAATCAACAAATGCACAGCTGATATCCTCATTGCTTTCAATCAGAACTATTTTAATAAAATTTTAACTCAAATTAGGGCAATCACATATTTAGCATACAAACTAAGTAAAGAAAATAAACTTTGAGCAAAATTAACAAGATCAGTTAACTAAGTTTCAACATTTCTGTCCCCAACTATAAAATTTTAACTCGTTTTAACGAGGTTCTAGGAAATTCTTGCTTTTTGAAATTCAAGTCTTAGAATACTTAGCTGATTTAATTCAACCAGATGCGTTTTCAATGCGGCCCAAAAATAGATTGGAAAGTATGAAGATTCATGCATGCTCATTGGTAATTCATTTTTGTAGATTATTGGAACAATTTCAGGTTTTGACTATCTAAAACGCCTGTTTATAAGAACTTTTTTGCTCATTTTTTAATTAGAGTTTGAACTAAAGTTTTACATCGACTGCCAGCGAATGATCTGAACTACCTTCTCTTAAAGTTTCAATTTGTAATTTTGAAGCACTTATCAGTTTTTTCAGGGTATATAAAAATGCCAGTTTTCATCTTCCGCACAAGTCTTGCGTTGTAGTGAACTCGGTGGAGTAAAAAAATTTTACTAAAAAAACATTGTCAGCGAGAAAAATGAAATAATGAGTGTGACAATTTATATAAACTCACTGTTTCTTACATTTTCACGCGAATTGAAAAACTAAGAGGGGATGATGAAAACTAAGGTTTTAAGAAACGGAAAAATCTGGAAATTTAAAAGAAGGTAGTTCTCGTCATTTGTTGTCAGTCCTTATAGTTTGTCCAAAAAGGCTCTTAAAAACACCCGCATTTAAGAAAAGTGAACACAAGTTGAGGGGGGGGGGGGGGTGGGGGGAGTTTGGTTTGTTCTTAATGGGCAAATACGAGTTGAAATTCGCATCTCTGTAAAATTGAAAAAAAATCGATTATAATTTAGTTTTATTGTTAGTGTTCACAAAAGTGAAAAAAAAACAAATATAATGGATGAGAAAAGGATTTTGTTGCCTCTAAAAATAGTAATATTATAATCCATTGTTTATTGATTAATAATCGATTTGTTTTCACTTTTGTGGACACTGGCAAGGAAACTCAATTATAATCAATTTTTATTCATGGAACTCTAGTGTCCTTCTTATTTCTATAAATTTTTAAATCAAAATTAGCCATCAGTATGATTTAATAAGTAAAATCAGACTCAAAAAGGAAATATTCATTGAGAAGTAGATTCTTACCATTTAATGTTGAATGGCACAGATTTAATAAACCAATCAAACATCGGTGACCTGAATAAAGTACTTCTGAAAAATGGTACGCTTAAAAAATGTTGAATTATGATGTGTTTTGAAATTGCGAAGAGAACCAAAATGTAACAGCTCTTTTTCCTCTTTTTTCCTATCTCTTTTTTTCTCTTTTTCGCTCTATTTGTATGGGAGGAGAAACTGCGTAAGCTCTGTTTGCTTTTAGCAAATGAACATTTTCCTATACAATTTGAACACGCGACTTTTTTGACCTAATTTTAGTTGAAATGTTGAAAAATGAATACAAAAATTGGTTGATATTTTTTGTGTGCTCAAAGAATATGGTAGCTTTTTCGTTTCACATTTCTTTTTCTCGGTTTAGAAAAGTGGAAATAATGTCAAATGATTGATTATTTGAGACGTTTTTATTGTTGACTCCGTTTTTCAAAATCCGTCTAACGTTTTAGTTTTCCATGGAAATAGCCGTTGAATTAATGGTATATCAAAATATTGGACGCAAAAAACATAAGCCGTTTAAA